CTATCGGTACCCCGTCTGGACCCACTGCTTTCCCAGCTTTCATTCTCCCTAGCTCCCGGCGAACTTCATCCTTCGTCCAGGGAGTGATGGGACCTGCCGTCGCCTCTATCTGTGGGCTATCCTTGCGAGGGAATTCTTCGTTCAGAAGTCCCTCGAAGTATTCTTCCCACCTCTTCCTGACTTCGGCTGGTTTCCTGAGAATGGCCCCGTTGCTGCTCTTCACTGTCTTTACGACCCTGATGTCCTGAGCTGCGCGATGCCGAGCTTTAGCCAGGCGGAAGACGAACTTGTCCCCTTCTCTGCCTTCCAGCTTGTCGTACAGGGCGTCCATTTCCGTATTCTTGGCCTTAGCAACGGCCGCCTTAGCGAGTCGCTTGCAGCTCTTGTAGGCAGCGTAGTCTTCTGGGCTCCGTGTCTTTTGCCAGCGTTTGTATGCTTCCTTCTTCTGCTTGACGATCCTCTGGACTTCCTCGTTCCAGAACCAGGCTGCCTTGTCTCCTCTGATACCACCTCGCGTCTCTCCCAGGACCTCCCTTGCACACTGTAGGATGACCTCTGCTGCGTAGGTCCAGGTGTCCTGGACTGGCCCATGTGGGTCTGGGAGCCCAGCCTCCAGTATTCTTCGGCCGAGGCTATCCTTTTCTACCCTGCCCATTTTCCACCACCGAATTCTTCGCTCTGCTCTCACCCTTGTCTTCTTGGGGAGGTCTATGGCGATGTCTGCCAGGAGAGGCCTGTGCTGAGGGCCCAGCTCTTCCCCAGGCAGTACCTTGATATCCTTGATGGTTTTGAGAGACGATCTTCTTACCAGGACATGGTCGATTTCCGTTTGTCTCCCTCCACTGCTGTAGGTTACCTTTTGGGTCCTCCTTTTCGCGAAGAAGGTGCTGCAGATTGCTAAGTCGTGGGCTGTTGCTAGGTCAAGGATTCGTCCTCCCTCAGCGTTCTTTGTCCCTATTCCTTGACCTCCGTGCACCCTTTCTAGACCCCTTCTGTCCCTCCCAACATGGCCATTCAGATCTCCAGCTATGGTGAGATAGTCCTCTTCCGGAACCGATCTTATGGCCTCGTCCAGGGTCAGGTAGAACTCATCCTTTTCGGCTTCAGAGCAACCGGATTGTGGTGCGTACACGGTCAGTACTGTCCAGTACCCCTCCTTCGTGTCCATTCTCACTCCCATGATCCGGTCACTGATCCTGTTCACAGTGGAGACGCAGTCCTTGAGGGATTCTGCCACCGCTATGGCAACGCCATTCCGTTTGGTGTCTGCTCCATTGTAGAAGAGTTTGACGCCTTCTCCAATCTCGCGGGCCTTCGCACCCTTCCATCGCGTTTCCTGCAGGCATAGGACTTGGATATTCCTGCGTCTCATGAGGTCGGCAACCTCACGAGACTTCCCGGTAAGCGACCCCAACCATTACTACTTCATATCTGCTAATAATGAGAAATATCCATTGCAGCTAGAACTTATGTTTTATGAGATTTGCGGTCCCTTTAAAGCTTTCTCGTATTCAAGTGGCGAGTGTAGTATAACATGTAGATGGAAGCATGCAATTTGTTATAACTCTCCTCAAAAAGGAGCCGCACTCTAGTCCCAATAATTATAGGCCTGTCAGCTTGACTCCAGTCTTTGCTAGGGTCTTTGAAAAAACCACCAAAAGTACTCGGTAGCTCACACTCAACGCTCTAGAGAAAATACATAGTATTCTCTCCACCTCACACCACAGATTTCGCAGTGGTGGATCGATTGAAACATCGCAATTGTGTAGCCTGAATGAGTGGTCGAAAGCACTAGATTTCAGGAAAAACATCGACATATGTACTTCGATTTCCACATAAAATTTTGATACAGAAGCTGATCTTCTACGGTAATCATCCTTTGGTAGTGAAGCAGATTCAGATTTTTCTTGAAAAATAGGACATTTCAAGTGCAGGTTGGAGATATATTGTCATCTGTACGCGCAGCATGCAGTGGTGTTCCACAAGGAAGCGTGATTTCTCCTGTTCTGTTCAACATTCTTGCTGCAAACCTACCCAATGAGCTTCGTGATGTTGGCATTTCTTGTAATGTCTATGCTGATGATATCGAAATATTCAAGACTGTTCAATACGTTGTTTCTGACTCTTCTCTCCATCATACGATTAATAAGATTTGTTGAATGGTATGAAACCAAGGGCCTCCTTCTATCTGTGGAAACACAGGTCATGCGTATAGGTTTACACGCTTGCGAACCCGTTTATTATGTGGAGTATAAAAGACTCAATTCCGTAAGGGAGGTTCATATCTTGATTTCCATTATGACTACAATCTAAGTTTCAGCAAGTATTGCAAATTGCTGATGGCTAAAGGTACTAGAAGAACTCATAACTTATTCGAAGCTCTTTCGGACTAAGGATCCTAACATTTTAGCTCGTTCAAATAAACAATATGTGCGTTCAATTTTGCGGAACCACTGGATTCCAGTCCCCTTCTAAAGAAGGATATTCATGCACTCGAAAGTGCACGGAACACACTCGCTAATGAATGCTTACAAGAGAGTGGTTTGAACTTCCCATGAAACTTTTGAATGGAGATTAGGTGCATCAATAGAGCTAAATTTTTGCTTCGCTCCGTATAAGAGCTTCAACTCTAATTTTCGAAATTCTTCCGAATTTACGGCCCAGCAGGGCAAGTAGATCAAGTACATCAAGTATATGACGTACTCGATCTAGTATGGATGTAGTCATATCTGCCCTCTCTCTGAACATATTACCCATCCGACAATTCAAAGTTTTAGCGAGAAATTCGTTCATGGGAGATTTCGACCCCCTGAACACGAATATCACATCCTTCGACGAAAAAACGCTCGTCTGGCCAAATTGCGATTCTGGGCAAAACTTTGAATTGTCGGATGGGTAATATGTTCAGAGAGGGCAGATATGACCAAATCCATACTAGATCGAGTACGTCGTATACTTGATGTACTTGATCTACTTGCCCTGCTGGGCCGTAAATTCGGAAGAATTTCGAAAATTAGAGTTGAAGCTCTTATACGGAGCGAAGCAAAAATTTCGCGCCGCAATACTGGATGGCCGAACCGCATGCGTGTGATTTAGAAGCCAGAGACCGTTATCACGATATACCACGATGACACTGCCGAGCCATCGATCCAGTTGGCTTAGAGCCAGAACTCAAACTTTGACCACCCAGATCTCGTCTGGGAGGTCCCCGTAGCACTTTTAATCTGCATATTCGTAATCAGCATTCGAGGCTCTATCGATGTACCTAGGTCTCCATTCGTAGTTCCTGGGAAGTTCAAAGCCATTCCCTTGTTAGAAGTGCAGGACAGGTCACCTTTAAATCCCACGGGGGTCAGTAAGGAACACTGAGTGTACCCGACAAACCGTTGAATGGAGAAGGAAGAGATATGACTTACTGATGGTGTTCAAAATTCTGAAAGATTTGGTAAAAATATATTGTAGAGGACTTCTTTTCTAACCGTCGCCAATCACAAGAGTCATCGATCAAATTAAATGCCACATTGCGAAAACTCAAATTAAGATCAAGGTTTCTTCAGTAACAGTGTTTACTCATTGTTTTAAGCACTTTTACCGTGGCAAATGTTTTTCCGCAGAAATATGTTTAACCTTCAAGAATCGTATTGGTGTGGTTGTATAAGTTTTTGTCTCTAGCTTCATTGGGAACTGCGATTCTCTTAATTCTACGCACATGTTCTTTGACATGTCTACAGAATAAATAAGCGAGAATCGCATACTTGGGATCGAGCCGTGGCGCTTATGCTTCACAGCTCACCACCAAGCGCCCACCCTACTGCACCATTACAAACTTTACCTGCTCATAAGTGACTTGTGAAATGCAGGTTTGCAGGTTTTTGCCGTCGCATATTTGTAAGTAAACGCTTATAGACCTCTAATGCGATCTACCCCAGTTCTCCATTTAACCTTTCATGGTAAGTTGACGGACTTCCTGGTTAGAAAGGCGGTATGTTCACGTCTCGTCCCGGATACAGAGGGCGTGGCTGTGTACCTCATTTGAGCTTAGCAGCGGCTACGCTTCTGGTGGGATTGAAGCTTTGTGACATGATACGCAGCAATGCCCTCTATATCTATGAGATATAGAGTGTAAAATCCATCAACAACTCGAGTCATTCGAAATGCTTGTCTATTCAGTAGTATATACAGAGGCCTCTCTCTCTCTCTACCTTTTTCCATAATGCATCTGCAAGGAAGCTTTGGTCATTTGAAAAGGTTTTTGGCCAATAAAGAGAGACTTTTCAAGAAAATTACACGCGAGAAAATGTTCTTTACGCTCAAGATGGACATAGATAAAGTGTCTAAACTTGTGCAATTAACTTGGTTTCTTCTGTCCTGGCAACGGAACCTTTCAACCACGGGAAACTCGCACACTGAAAAAAATTGGCGCCGAATTGAATGCTACCAAAAAGGGATATCGCAACTGCTTCTCATTTAATTTGAACCAAAGGATGCGTGGAACGGCTAATCTTATGAATATTTTCAGTGCAGCTGGAACACGAATTTGGTTGCCTGGCGGCAGTGGAAGTGAGCTTTATAAGTACTGAAAGACGTGATTAACTACTCGAAATGAATTAGTCACTATTATGCTCTGTATGCCTGCTCTCCGATTTTGGATTACAGTGGAATGTTCACAATAGTCACATTCCATCGCGCTGACATCGGTTACGAGGCAACGTGAACGCCGTGTTGCCCCCAAGCAATGGCCGATGTTAAAATGAATAAAGGAAGGCCGGCGGTAAGTCTCCTGCTCACCGCCGACCTTCCTGCCGCACAGCGCGCGAAGAACTTCCTCATTTCAGTTATTTCCATCCTTCCACACAACTTCTCAGTTGGTTCAGCGATTTTTGTACTGAATGTTTGCTGATCTGTTTTGAAGAATGGTCTGCTAGTTTGCTGATTCTCCATGAATAAACGCACATTTGGGGGTTGTTTAGTAGTTGGGTCAACGTTCTTAATAGAACAAGTCAACGGATCGTGCTAGGCTGAAAAAGATTTGTGAATCTAAAAGCCGACCGCAACGCGAAAAGGCTGAAGAAGAGAGAACCCAAAAACAATGATGATTCATCTCGCACTAGTCACTGGCTGCTAGCCCATATAGTTCTGACTTTCGCATGATAACCGCATTTGCATGTGCAATTTTTGCTCTCTCGTTTCCCATATACTGTGCGAACGAAGTTTTTAAACTGGCGGGAGGGTCTCGTCATATCATTCAGGCCTGAAATATTTGCCTTTACCCTAAAAAAAGTGTAACCAATAACGGGAACCATGATACCCAAGGCAACATTAGGTTGGCGAAAGTTTCTTTCGGACTCAAAATACTTGCCCATACTAGGAAAAGGTGGGATCAGTAAACGCACCGCTGACAAACCAAGAAGGTACTACTCTCACAGTCCACTCTCGTGTCTTCTACTTCTTCTTCTTTTGCTATGGAACAAGAAAGTTGCTTTCGTGATGTTTCAGCGTACCGTTACAACAGAGGCCCCTCCTCGAACCCCGTTTCCTCTATCATCCCGTCTTGAACATGAGAGCTACCTAGGTCAAAATAGAGAAGTTGTATAAGGGCGATAAACCCAGCTATTGGACAGTCTTCCACGGTGCGCACCAGCTAGAGACTACTGCTTTGAAGACGAAGTGAAGGTCCCAGTGTCCATGTAAACACAGCTTGAGGTATCTGCGGCTTGCGAAACTACCGGATGAAGAAGCTGCATCCCCGGTTATCCCACACAAAGCAGCTGGGAAGATCCGATGTGAATAGTAGATTAGAGGGACAAATTTGATCGCACAGTTGCTTTTAACATGGTACTGCATTCCAGACCCTTCAAACAGCTAGACCGAGCCTCATGTATAGAGCTGCTTACCATCGCCTTGAACCTGTGAAGCCCAGACTTGTCCTGAACTGACCCATCGTATGGACAGGAAGGCTTCACAACCAGAGCTCAATTCGAAGTGAAGATGATAACCGACTTTGAGACACTCCGGCCCACATTGTGAAGCAATGGCATCCAAAAGGTGCTCAAAAACTGGTAAGAGCCAGTCAACAACGCTGCATATTTTTGATTTTATACACCTCCCGATTAAAGGAAGGGTGACCTAATGATAAGCGTCTTGTCAGCAGTGCAATCTGCGATAGGATCACTGATGACCAGCCATTCGCTAAGCTATTACTTACTTGAATACTTGGACGCTCGTTATTCAGCCGGTTCTCTTCAGCGACGAGCACACGCTTCCCTCCATTGTTTGCGATCTTGAGCAGTTTGGACCCAGTGTTGGTCTGCAAAATCTTGGAGTTGCTTTAAGGAGTCTCTCCAACGGGTTGAAGGGCGGCCAACCTTGCGCTTTTCCACGGTCTCTCGGATAACTCACAAAGTGTCATGCGAGTGTCCCAGCGATCGTCCGTACGTCTGACCACATGTCCGGCCCATCTCTTCTTTGCATTCCACGCGTATACTACGGCATCAAGGATGCCCGACATTGAGCGCATGTCTGTACTGTGCAGATTGCGACATCTCTGCTCACGGCGGTTGATATTCAGCAGGGTCCGTTCCAATGCTCGTTGGGCACGTGTCAACGTAGAGACGCCTTGTTCTCCGCCCACGTCTCGGATGCGTAACAAAGAGCAGGCAGTACTGTAGAGTCGAACAGAGCAGCTTTCCTATCCGAAATGAGCTGGGCCGCCTCTCTTATGCTTCCCATTGCCGTCCAAGCGATTTTTTGGCGTCATCAATGCGCAAAATTGTTGTCCATGAGAGATGAGTCGACCAAGGTAAACGTAACGGTCGGTATCCGGTAGAGCAGTGCCTTCGAGTGTGATGGGTGACGCATCTGCCCACTCATTGCGCATGACCTCGGTCTTGCTCCGGTTCATCGTGAGGCCGATAGCTTTGCCGACGTTGTTCAGTTCCTCCACCATCCGCTGTAGCTCTGCTGAGTTCTGACTGATAAGGACAATGTCGTCTGCGAATCGTAGATTAGCTTTTTTCCCGTCGACGTTGATGCCTTTATCGTCCCAGTCGAGTTGCAGCATCGCGTGGTTGAGTGCGGTGGTGAACAGCTTGGGAGAAATCGTATCACCTTGTCTGACTCCTTTTTCGATCGGCCCTAACGCTCGTTCTGTCGTTGCGAAATGAAGATAGGTGGGAGATGTGTACTTAGTGCATTTTTTCCAGCAGGTTTCATGTTGCACAGTGGACACCAGCATGGGTGCAGCGCATTCCAAATAGAGTTCAGTTCCACACTGTCGAATGCTTTCGTATAGTCAATGAAGCAGAGCAGGAGCGGCTGCTTGTATTCCTTGGTTCGCTCGATCAACTGCGTGACAGTATGGATGTGGTCCATGCAACAGAAGCCCTTGCGAAACCCGGCCTGTTCCACTGGTTGATATTCATCCAGTTGTTTCTCGAGCCTGTTGAGGATCACCTTCGTGAACAACTTGTATGGCTGCGAGAGGAGGGCGATGGGGCGGTGGTTTTTCATGAGGTCGCGCTCGCCCTTCTTGAACAGAAAACCGTGGTTGACGTCTTCCACTGGTCCGGGATCTCTTGCGCGTCCATGTATTATAGCACCTGGTGAGCTGTTTTATGACGGTGCGGGACGCCGACTTCAGAAAGTCTACTGAGATGCGGTCAGGTCCTGGTGCCTCATTTGACGCAAGGCGTGTTCCCCCTCCCACTCTTCGATCTGAGGGGCCGCGTCCTGCGTAGGTGTGGGTATGCGTGGAACTGGCATCGTTGATCGGTAGAGATCCGTGTAGAAATTGACGACGACCTCTTCAATCCTCGCTCTTGATGTCTACGGTCTGCCCATCGCGTCTCGCATAACCGCGGTGACCGAGCGCGAGAGTCGATGATGTTTAGACGACATCGTTTGAGACTCGCTCTCGCTTCCGCTGATTCCTTCAGTCGAGTATTCTTGTAGCGCTGAATCGACTCCTTCACTGCGAATGCGGCACGCTTTGTTGATAACGACGCGCGCTCCAATGGTGTTGATGCAGGGTTACGATGGACGACAGCGCGTTGCTGTAGAAGTGCGCGAGCCTTGTCGTCAATCCTGCCATTCGAATCCGTCCTTGTTGGGATAGCCGATGCCATAGCGCAATGTCGAAGTCCTTCTATGAGCATGGTATAGTCTTGCGACAAGTCTTGCGCCTCCTGCCACGTGTAGTGAGCGGCGGCCGTCTCCATGGCGTTTGTGTCGTAATGTGGCAACCGTATGGAGAAGGCTCGAAGTCATCTCCGGATTCCTGCTCGGAGACGAATGTTTTGCTCTAACCAGCCTATGGTCGCTCCCAGTGCGGAATGCATCCACCACGCTGACGTCGAGCAGACTCCACTTCCTGTTAGTGAGAACGTGGTCGATTTCGCTGTGAGTCGCTTGCATTCGGACTCTCCCACGTCCATCGCCGATTCTCCTTTTTCGTGAAGAAGCTGTTTCCGTGAAAGAGATTTTGCATTGCTCCAAGAGGTCCATCGCAACATCCGCCGTTTTCGTTTGTTCTTTCCGAACTGACCGTGTGGTTCGGCGATGCGCTTGCCGTCCGCCATCTCCCTCACGGATGACTGCGTTAAAGTCTCCGACAACATATTTGTAGTAGGACCGTTCCCGCTTTATCATCTCCTCTAATTCCTTGTAGAACGCGTCCTTTTCTTCGTCCGTAGCTGTTGACGTCGGTGCATAGCAGTTGATAATACTAATGAAAGTGCGTCGTATCGACCGAATCGATGAAGTGGCATGCGTAGACGTAGGATGGCCAGTCGCGGGCCGATCACTTCGACTGAATCGACCATGTGCTCGAGCCGATGGTGGACGAGGAATCCAACACCACCGACATTTCTTCCGCTCAGTTTGGCTCCGGCAACAAATTAAGCGGCTATCGTGTGGTGCTTCCTTCTAGCTGTTTCTTTTTTGTTTCTGGAGAGCGAGAAGACATCGAAACGAGTCTTTACTAGTATCCCATTAATTATGGTTCGGTCGCTATCGAGTCAATTGTGTGAGCTGTAGGTGCAGACTCGTAGACCAGTCCCGATGCCTCAAAAGCTTTTCGTTTATCTCTGCGGCGGTTTTTGTCTGGCAGGTCCCTTACGGTCGGAATTTGCTCCACGTGCAAACTTAGAGCTCGTGCATCAGCTCGTGCATTCTCCCGGACGCCTCTGTGTGCGTGTTTAGGGCTTATTTGTTCACACACATGCCCCGGGTAGCTAACCCTTTGATGTGGTTATCCACCCTCAACTGTTGGCGGGATATTCCGGCGTTCCGCCCCCCGCCACTCGGAAGCCAAGTGGTAGGGATATAAAGGAAAATTCGCTACGGCTATTACTGTATGTTTTTTTGCAGTATGATGACGACTATACCAAGAAATTTGAGAGTTCGTATTTCAGGCTATTTTTGTTGCTATTTTTTCCTACCGGTGGGTGCTGGTCGGGGCGTTACGCAGGTATTGGTTCTGTGGTTTAAACATAGTCTAGAGGTTCAACTTGCTGAAACAGCCCAAACTTGAGAAGCGTATGGACAAGGAACTGTGCCTATCAGGACGAGTGGAAATTTTTTTGAAACGATTTAAGGAAGGTACTTCGACCTAATTGTGCAACCGCATGGAACCACATTGATAGCGGCTGCTTGCAGAACTCGCTTACCATGCTTTTCAAGTTACCAAGTTTTCCATGATGTGAAGACGCTTTCTATAAGGAAGTGGGAACATACCCCAACTTACCCAACTTCCACCAAAATTCTTTTTTCTTGGACCTCCATGAATATCTCCACGAATGAGCTTACTCAAAGGCTTCCGATCGAACTCAATAGGGCATGTAATGCCCACTGTCTCTGAGGTCGAAAATGGTATCTCTGAATCGCTGATACCTTTTTATGGCTCCCTAAGCGACATTGCTTCTTGGCCGTACACCTAACAACTAAGCCTTTTGTGGCTTCAGCTTTATTTCAGCATAGATGGAAAAAGGAGGAAAGTGCTGAAGTTCGTGCGGAAAAGAAGTTTTGGTTTTTTTTTGTGTGTTTTGTATGGCGCGCGCGGCCCCGGCGGGCCGCGCCCCGCGCCCGCGCCGCGGGCGCCCCGCATCTGGAAGAGCCGAGGTCGAGTAAAAGTAGGAAATTTTCCCAAGTCATTCCTTTTTACTTTATAGTTTTGTATCAGGATGGAGCCATAACCATGGGATAAAATTTTGAAACTCTTGAACAAATGTAATAACACTTTTAGAATAGTCTTGCTAAGTTCGATAGAATGGAAAGCTGCAGAAGACCCGAATGTTAATAGAACTATAAAATAGTAAAAAATTTATTGGCAGTATAGCAAGAATAGCATAGAATAAATAGATAGATATTGACTATCAGTTTAATAGCATGAAGCGCATAAATACAGTTGGTGACTAAATAATACCCCTCAAGATAGATGTCGTGCGTAATCGTCCCTTTCCACACCCCTAAACAAACATCTGGCCTTTACGTGGACAAAAGCCACGCTGAAATCAGAATTTACCCCCTTTCCGACCATCCTCTGCGTAGATAGCGTAATGCTTGCTGAAGGCACACTGAAGTTTTCGAAGGTGTATCCTCACAATGGCACAGAAGGAGTCGATTTTTCGGGTGGGTCAGAGGGTAGCGCGTCTGTGACCCATAAATATCTCCTGGAACTAGTGGGTCTTCAGGAAAAACTGTAAAGCTTATTTGAGCAGTTTCAAGACGATTTCAATCCTGATGAAATTGCGTTCGAAATAAGTAATCCTCGTGTGAAGCATAAAAACCCGCTTGCCATTTACCCCTAGCCGATCCGAAACCCATCCGAAATATTTCACGAACGGGGAAACATTCAGATTGCAACTGGGTAGAAAACGCAACAGTAGGAACATTCCGTTGCATGCTGCTAACCATTCATCAAAAGCCGCGCCCCTCAAAGAGATATAACCCCCCGAAAAGACCCCAGGACGTTGGCAGGCCCAACAACCGCGCTCCAATGATGACGTTTTTCCAATGAAAGCGGTCGCAACGTTGCGATCGATAATAGCCAAGTATAGAACGATATACTGTTGCCTGGTTATGCATTTTTTTCATTTGGCTCCTCATTTTTTTGGTTTTTTCATGTTTCGGCTTTGGTGTTGCATGTTTTTTCATGATCCCTCCCTCCATCGTTCATCTGAATGCATGCCTGAAAAGCGCTGACCTTGGGGCTATTTTTTTCAACCAGTTCAGCTTTATCAATGATCATTAGTCGCTGTTTCGATTGTGTTCCTTGTTACAAGTTGCACGTCATACGTGGTTGTCGAACGACGAGTTTTGTTTTGAATCCTAAGAGAAAATTGTAGGCAGTGCGAGGCTGTTGTTCAGCCTCATATTGCATGAGGCTTAAACAGCCTATTATTGCCTGGATTTTAGAGCAGAGTCCCGCCTTTCGAAAATCCAGATTCCATTTCAGGAAGCCATTTGTGTGAACATGCATCTGGTTGTCAGTTTAGCAGGCAGGGGGGGGGGTCGTAACTGAACCCTCTTCGAGGGGAGTGGGGGGGGGTCGTACTCACACCGCCATTTCGCACATCCCCATGCTGTACCCTGATCATGGAGTGGATGCATTTAATCTCTCTTGTAGGGTTCATTACTGGGGATCAGAAATCATCAGGGACGGGAATTGTCCCAGCGCGCATTCTTTTCGGTCTTTTACCTCTACAGTTGTTTGAGGCTAGGGGCGGCCTGCGTTTCCAACGTTCCCTTTGGCATTTTCTCTTCATAGATGGTTCACATGACAAATTTTCTTCCACATTTCTGCAAAATCTTCTAATCTTTTTATCGCGGACATTGTTAGCTGACTCAAGAGTGTTAGTATATTTGTGAAGTCTCCCGGAAAGAAATATATGTGTGGGAAATTGCGGGACCAAACTAGAGCTGAGTTATCGAAATTTTTCGGGAAATTCTTCAGCTACCATATCCTTTGTTTATTTCTTAGTAACCAGTCAAGCCAAAATTCTGGCTGTGACTCCACTAAAAATTCGCAAAATAGTAAAGCTGAACAATTTATAAACATATTACGTCCTGTTTCCAATCCCTTTTGAATTTATTAACCTTTTTGTCAATTTTCGCATGTTTTTAGCCCATCACGTTTATCACGTAATGGTATCCAGTTTTACTTATCACAGTCATGCATACAAGTGTAATGTATAATACGAAGTAGATGCATTATTTTTATGTCATATGTATGTGATAAAAATCTTATTTGTTTATACTCGGCGCGCCATGCGACAAAAAGGCGTCGGCCACAGGCGCCCGTTTTCCGCGAAAACGCCGCGGTACGCGATGGGTTAAAGTCATGATTCTGACGCTCGTTCATGCCCGTCAGGGCATTTTGAAGGAGATTTGCCGTGCTCGCTGACTAAGAGGAGCCACGTAGCTCCCAGCTGAGGCTCATTATCCTCCGATGTATGCGCTTCTATCAATTAGCAGTGTTCAGCAAACGAAAGACCTTACAAGTTGGCTTGGGCGGAGCTGAATCCACAAGCGAAGCATGTGACTGACGCCCTCCGACACTACACCTTCGTTTTGTGTTCTTGTGTACCTGAATGTCAGAATTCCCATCAACTAATTGTAACTCAGTGCTCGTTCTCTAAAGCGGGGTGGGAGGTGAGTTGTAACGTGGAGGCTGAGTCAAGTAATAAACGTTTATCGTATTTCCTCTGAATGGTGCTGGGCCTAATCCCATTAGCTTTGCCGAAACTGGTAAACAACCGTCGCCATTGCGCCAAGTGACGTCTGAATCCGCAAAGTTATTCATTTTGGCACTGATCTTAAGAAATAATTGAAAAGGCAATACGTGATCATGGCACGTCCTGCCGCTGGGAATTTGTTCTGGAGATACGACCCACCCCTCCCTCCCACTCCCAATTTCGTACTCTGCTACTACCCTCCCCCTTATCCTGCCTACTTCGTCTTGCCTTCCTTGACAACTTTTCCAAGCTACTTACCCAAAGCTTGAATTTCCTAGAAATCTTTTAGTTTTTTACCTAAACGTTGTCGTCGAGTGTGTGTGGGCGAAGGGAGGTGTCGGGGTGAGGTACGTAGCGCCAGAGAAGGGAAAAACTACGAAAAGTCATTGAACGGACAACACGGCGTTTTCCGCCGGTTTCGTCTTGAAGCGAGTACAGACCTCCCCACCGCAATTCTCCGCAGTGGCGAGCATATGGACCTTCCCCCCTTCCCCCCCCCCTTGCAGCTCGCAGCGCTGTGAATAGCGGCTGTGAAGCAGATCAAATTCAACAACCGAAAGATTTGTGTCAAAATACGACACCTCTCCCTCCAGCGACCGAATAACGACCTCCCCTTCTGAGGTTCCCCTGAGGCAATACGTGCCTGTAAAGTGATTCACGCGCTGAGCGATCCAAAGGCTTCGACTGTGCTTGATGCCTTCTATTAGTCGGCCCTGCTAGTCGCAAAGCCGGATTAATATAAAAAATAGGTAGGCTTTAGAATAAAATCTTTTGGTTCTTTGGTCGTGAATCCTCGGCTCAGAATTTGATGTACACGACGGACGATAGAAGCTCCATTACTAGGGAAATATTTGTAAATGGCACGATAATTCCCCAAAGACGAGTAGGATTAATACGCCTGGCAGGACGGAATTC